AGGAGAATTCGATTTTCTGTGTATTGCCCCAGGCATCCTTCGCTGCACTGCTGTCTCAAGTTTCAGCTCTCCTTGCAATTCTACTTTTTTCAGTGATAGCGTTTTGCATCCTTGTAGGCAAGAATTATCTTAGTAGTTTTTATTAATAATTGGGATAGTTTTTACCTTGTCAAAAGTATTTTGTTACTCCTTAGCTGAGGGTAGTTTTGCGTCTTCGCCGTTAGCTGAAAATAAATTGCGTTACTTTTTTGATCTTTTTTGATCAATTTTGATCAATTGTTTCTTTACTGCGCACTATCGCCCCCTTTGCATGACTGTGCTCGTCGAAGCTGCATCAGCTGGTGATGAGTCTGACCGTAACTCTGACGGCGTTCGTTTCCCCGCTTTCTTCCTGGGTTTTGCTTTTTCCCTTAAACCGATACTGTTGCCTGTGTGCGTTTTCGGCATGTTTTGTAATCCATCTGTCATTGTTTACAGAATTATTAATAAAAGAAATTAGGATTTAAATAAAATAGGGACTGCTGGAAGGAAAAATACAGTTCTTTTCGGTGCTGTTATTTTTTTTTTTCGACTAACATCCGTTTTCAGTCTGTGCAATCACAAGCTGTGAAGAGTGATGACGGGAAGTATTATATCCTGAATGGTGGCAAACTGTGGATCAGTAACGGATCATTTGCTGATATTTTCACTGTCTTTGCCCGGGTAAACAACTTAATCTTTTTATTACCAAGATTCTCCCCTTCTGTTTATATCTTGTCATAGTCACAAGACTTGATTATCACAGGCTTATCTCAAAGCAATTTAGATTAAAATATCGTCTGCATTCACTCTGCATGAGAGGCAGGGGCTCTCGGAAATAGCCCAGCCGTAGCACGTGCCAACAGCAACCACTCACTGATTAGGCTATCAGGGACGCAAGTTGATGGGAATACTGGTTTATCGATAATTTAGAAAGCTGAATAATGGAGTAAGAAGATTGTAATTAGGTGTCATGTATAATAAGACATTTCACGATGCAGTCTGAATATCTTTTTAACCACTTCCGCATTCCCGCGAGCCGAATATTTTGCCTCCTCCGCTTTTTCGAGTTGTCCATCATCCGTCAAGTCACTTTAGTGCATTTCAAAAATACAAGCAAACGGCCCCCGTGACTTCATGAATTTATTCGTAACATATATGTGATGATTATTTCTTGTTG